GAAGGGGAAATAAGGAAGACCCGCGAACTACAGGCTGGTCAGTCTCACCTACGTGTCCAGCAAGATCATGGAGCAGATCCTCCTGGAAACTGTGCTAAGGCACATGGAAAATGGTGACTGGTAACAGCCAACATGACTTCACAAAGGGCAAATCAGGCCTGACAAATTTGGTGGCCTCCTACAGCAGGGTCACAGTATCAGTGGATAAAGGAACAGCAACTGACATCTTATATCTGGACTTGTGCAAAGCATTTGACATTGTCTCACATGACATCCTTGTCTCTAAATTGGAGAGACATTGATTTCATGGATGAACCAGCTGGTGGATAAGGAATTGGCTGAATGGTTGCACTCAAAGAGTTGTGGTCAATGGCTCAATGTCCAAGTGGAGACAGGTGACAAATGGCAATCCACAGGCATCGGTATTGGGATTGGTGTTAACATCTTTGTTGGAGACATGGACGGTGCGATCAAGGGCAACTTCAGCAAGTTTGCAGATGACACCAAGAGGTGTGGTGCAGTCAACATGCTGGAGGGAAGGAATGCCATCCAGAGGGACCCGGACAGGCTGGAGAGGTGGGCCCAGGCAAACCTCATGAAGTTCAATAAGGCCAAGTGCAAAGTTCTGCATGTGGATTGAGGCCATCCCAAGCACAAATACAGGCTGGGCGGAGAATGGATTGAGAGCATCCCTGAGGAGAAGGACTTCTGGGTGCTGGTTGATGAGAAGCTCAACATGGCCCGGCATTGTGTGCTTGCAGCCCAGAAAGCCAACTGTATACCGGTCTGCATCACAAGAAGTGTGACCTGCAAGTCAAGGTAAATGATTTTTCATCTCTACTCCACTCTCGTGAGACCCTACCTGGAGTACCGTGTCCAGCTGTGGGGAACCCAACATAAGTAAGACATGGACCTATTGAAGTGGGTCCAGAGGAGGATCACAGAAAAGATCAGAGGGCTGGAGCACCTCCAATATGAGAACAGACTGAGAGAGCTGGGGGTCTTTAGCCTAGAGAAGAGATGCCTCCGGGGCGACCTTATAAAAACCTTCCAGTACTCTCTATGAGGGAGTGCAGTGACAGAATGAGGAGTAACATTTTTTACATTTAGATTAGACACTAGGAGAAAATACTTTTCCGTGAAGGTGGTGAGGCACTGGAACAGGTTGCCCAGAGAAGCTGTGGATGCCCCACCCTTTGAGGGGTTCAAGGCCAGGCTGGATGAGGCTTTGAGCAACCTGGTCTAGTGGGAGGTGTCCCTGCCTGCGGCAGTGGGTTTGGAAACAGATGATCTTTAAGGTTTCTTCCAACCCAAACCATTCTATGATTCTATGAAAACAGCATTTTTAGAGGCCATTGACAGCTTTACAGTAACAGATGAACAGCTGACCTGCGGAGAATGATGCTGCCAACTTTCTCTTGTCCTCAAACATTTTGACTGCAGTCGTTCTGTTCTTATACCATCAACTAGTCGGATCACGGTTTTGAGTTTACTGATAAAACATCACACAGAATGTGCTGTATTTGTACTACCAAATTCACTCTTAAAGTGTGGATAGCCAAAAAAGTATTGTGCAGAACAGATTCTATTTAGGATCCAATTTAATTTAAACATCTATACCAGCAACTATGCAATGTAGATCAGATACAAATGAAGTACACGGTATGTACTAAACGCATGGATTCAAGAAGGTCAGCCCTGCAGTTTTGCAGCCAGTCAAGTCAAGGTCCATCTAACTAAATATTCCATCTCAGAATCAGATCTGTACCATCAGAAAAAAATGTTACGTATGAATGCACAGGTCCAGCAACCCATGGTCAAGTCAAAGGTTTTCTACATATCATTACATTTAGAGGCCCTCAAAAATAACTTTTTTAAACTAGTCCAACTTTTAACTGGCCACTGACACAGCTTTTGGAAGCATTAAGTTTCTCAGTGCAAATATGCATTCTCATAATGCAAACATACATGGTATCCTTACGTAGAATTTATCTGTAAATTCACTATCTCTGGTATGTTGCAAACGGACCTTTGCTTCAGTATTTCAGTCAGTTCTGTATCCGTTCAAGAAAAAAAAAGCTAAAAATACTAGGAAGGGATATTGTGTAGCAATTAAAGGAAAGAATCTGCAGTTGAAACATCTGGCATGTTGAGATTAGCTGTATCACTGATGTCCTCTGTGCTTTAAAGAAACATCAAAATTACATTTTTCCAAAAATAGGCATCTAGATCCTTTTAAGGCACTTTAAAAGGGAACTGATCAAAAAAAGTCCACTGAAACTAACAGAAGACTTGACCATTCAGAAATATTCATTTATGTTAGACAGATACTGAGGTATAGTGTCAGCAATAGGTCCTGCAGGAACAGTAAGCCTCAAAACCAAGACGGTAATTAAGACTTTTTAAGGGTAAAGCTTCTGTGTGAGTATAGAAGAGGTTACTCTACTGCTCTGTTAGGCAAGTTCTTCGCATCTATGATGAGCAACTGCTCATGCTTAGTTCAAGCTAAGCAGGGAAGTCAAGGCTTAAGTATAATAATTTTGTCCAGAGAACATAAAATGTACATGAAATACATGAACTGAAGAACTAGAAGTGAGTCTTGGTTGACCTTACCCAGGTAGCTGCATCAGTATTGGGCCCAAAATTGCCTACATGACACTGCTGGAAACACTGAAGTTGGGTAAAGATGTAGTAGAAATCAGACCAATACGGAAAAAGTAGTTAGCAACAGGTTGACTGTTTGGAAGGAGTCTGCGCAGAGAAAACAAGGTGTGGGGCAGCAAAAAAGGTGGGTTTGTTAAAAGAAAGCTCAGAAATAAATTATAAAATCAGGAGGAGAACCAAGAGGAGGGAGATCTTCCAGTTGGGTTGGAGATGCCTGTAAACGGTAGTGAAGCCAAGCTGCAATCACAAATCGCCAGGATGCTGGAGGGAGTCAGAGGGCTGGAGCACCTCCCCTGTGAGGACAGGCTGAGAGAGTCGGGTTATTCAGCCTGAAGAGAAGGCGACCCTGAGGAGAACTAACAGCAGCCTTTCAGTACCTAAAGGGGGCCTACAGAAGAGACTGGGAAACACTGTTTATCAGGGAGTGTAGTGACAGGACAAGGGGTAACAGTTATAAGCTGGAAGAGGGTAGATTTAGACTAGCTATCAGGAAGAAATTTTTCACTGTGAGGGTGGTGAGGCACTGGAACAGGTTGCCCAGGGAAGCTGTGGATGCCCCATCCCTGGAGGTGTTCACAGCCAGGCTGGATGAGGCTTTGAGCAACCTGGTCTAGTGGGAGGTGTCCCCGCCCATGGCAGGGGGTTTGGAACTCAATGATCTTTAAGGTCCCTTTCAACCCTAGCCATTCCATGATTCTATGAGTACTGCTGAAATCTCCATCAGGTCTTTATCCCCAAGACTTGGTGAGGCAAGGTGGAGATGGAGGGGATAGACTTGGAGAAAGCAATAGATTTTACCCTACAACTAAATGCAGAAGGGAAGACAATAGACTTATTACCTAGTAGGGCTCCCATGTGTTTCTTAAGATATAGGCGTATAACTGTGTATAAATACTACTTCTAGTAATAAACAATAGAAATGTGACTCAGTAATACTTGCAGTGATGTACATGTAATTTAACTGTGATGTACACAGTACTCAATGAAGTTATTAGCTTCTTAGTACTGTGTTGCTTAACCAATAACCACCATCAATCAGTCACATCTCGACTCTCCATTCTAAAGGGGTTGAGTCAAGCATGGCTAGTCACAAATGGCAAGACAGTCTCAACCATTCCTTTGTTCTGGGAAAGATGACATGACTTTTTATCCCTCATTTAAAGGAATGCCTCCTACTTAGTTCTCGACAACCATGACAGAGACACCTGCTTCACAGCCTTTGGGAAGGAGGAGGAAATCTCTCCATCCTCCCGCCTCTACAACAGGCCAGTGGGAGGGCAAGAGGTAGGTCTTCAGTGTGGAGCCTCACTGATTTATTTAGATGGATCTGTAACTCAAAAAGGCTAGAAAGTGCAGCTCAGACGACAGCTAAGTGCATACAAAAAGAGAAAACCTGTTTACAAGCTGGGTCTTAATTTTTATGTCACAACCCCAGTGAAGACAGACATACAAGGAGAACCTTACTTTTGACTGCTTCTGGTTCTGGTGAGCTGGAAGAGGGAACTGTTGACAGTGGCTGCATATTCCTCCTCTCTGCTGGGGCAGTGCTGGAAGGCGCTGGTGCTGTGGTCAGGCTATCCGTCTCTGCTGAGTTGATTGTAAGCCTCACCATAGCTTTGGAAGTCTTCAGGAGACTAATAAACTGAATGATAAAGAGAAAAGCTGGTGAAGAGCGTAACCAGACTGTTCAGTTGTAAAACAAAAATAAAGCAGAACAACAACTGCAAACTGGAGCTACAAGTCACAATCCCGTAGGTCTTCTTGGTAATGAACAAAGACAAATATCGATGCTTTTTATAAGAAACAGCAATAGAGTTAACTGTGGGTCAAACCTGGCTGATGTTAATCAAGTAGCTTCCATAAAACTTAATCAAACTATACCAGATGAGAATGTGGCAGTCTTTCTATGGCTTCTCTGGACAGAATACTATGTTTATAGCGATTACTAAAAAAAAAAAATGGGAAAACTAGTATTGTCTTTTAATGCTTGGGTGGTGCCCAATTCTCATCCCACAGAATTCAATGTCAAAACATCTACTGATTAACATAAATGTGCTACTGCCATCCTAGCTCCTTAATCAGAGGCACAGCTGGAAGGAAAACCTGAAAATATTATCTGAACTACGTGAGGGAGAGGACACCAAGGTGTAATGCAAAATCTAGCTTAAAAGGATACTGAAAAACCTTCAAAATTAATTGCTATCTCACAGAAAAGATACCAAATCCTCCCCTGACTTTACATTACAGTAGACGTATTTTCAGAAATTACTTACTCAGTCTCTCTGCCTCTTCTTCTAAAGCCTACCTACTTCTCTACAGACAACTTCACCCTCTCTTATTCATTTACTGCTTCAAAGAGAGTAAAATGGATGCTCTCCTAATTGCCCTTTAACAAACAGAAAATTATCTCATGCCTAAAGAATCACTTTCTTTTGTAGCAAGGCAGGTGCTAGAAAAAGCCCTCCTCAATTTGTTACAGAACCCAAACTGAGTTTCCAGAGCTACAAGTTAAAAATAAATCTTGTTATTTAAGAATGGAGAAAGTTTTATCCAAAGGGTTGGAATACCAGGCTTGGAATATAGTGATGTAATTGTTACAGATACTCCCCATGTATAAGCACAGTTCATGACCTGATTTACCACTGACACAACCCACTCATGTAAATTTACACATATTAATTACACTGGTGCTAATACTTTTAAAGTGGAGTAGCTATGAAGAGTTATTATTGAGCAATAGTTCATGGCTTTTAGACAACAACTGAGTGCCTCTCAGTCATCAGATCTGAACCACATGTGAAAAAAATCACATTTGCAGCACAGAGATAGACAGTTCATATCGTGTAGTAATGTAAAATAGCAGCTGAGCTTTAAAGTCAAACTTTAGCTTTTTCTGTAGTAGTTTCCTTATCCAGACAATGCCTGCAGATCTTTGGTTCTTTAGCCAGTTTTGAAAATGAAGTCAGAATATAGTCACAAAAACCTCACTGGTTTGTTCAAGACACAAACACCTCCTACGTTAAGTGATGTGTTTTCTTCAACATTCCTGACACTTCAGAAGCACCTTTTCTACTGGATATCCCACAACAATTTCATCATCCACTGCCAGGATCTGATCTCCAACTTTGATTCGTCCATCCTGGAAACAACAAAGAATAAAAAATACTAGCACTGGATGCTACTCCAAAAAACATTTTTCATTCTCTATTTGGATTTTAAATGTTCTCACACCTTTGCTGCTGCACCATGATCTGTTAAGCTCTTAATAACTACTCCATTAATTGTGTCTTCTTCACTAATGGCAATTCCCAAACCTCCTTGATCCTGGGGCAAACAGAAAAAATACAAATGGTTAAGTACTGTGTTTATCAAAATGTTAGAGTCCATTCAGTAAAGACTAGTTAAGCCTTCAGATAAAACAAAATTTTGAGTTTTCACAATGCATCAATATTTTGGTTTAAATTAATCTATTTATGAAATAGATTTTGCCAACCTACCAACAATATATTGGCTACCAAGATAACACTTCTAAATTCAAATCCACTCCCTTGAAACTTACAAAGTCAATTGCGATTCAGTTGTTAAACTGATAAATAGGAGTAAGAAACACAAAATATTTCAAAACTATGAATTGAGGTAAACAAAACTTAAGTTATATAGCTTGCATTCATTATTTGAAACCACAGAGAAACACACACAGGAGTGGAAAATACAGAGGATGGAAAAATGCATGCTCTTCCCATGAAATTAATAAATGTTTGTGGCACAGTGAAATGTCCCTAATGCTTTCATGTAGAATTAAATCATTCAGATTCCATCACCTGTAAGATATTCTCCTGACAAATAATGGAAGGCTAGATGCCTTCAAAGGAGAAAAACTTGCCAACAGTCTGCAAGTCTCTACCCTCATGTCCACTGAATGCAACTGACTTCTCCATTTCAGTAAGCAGGAGGAGAAATTTTTCCACTCTCATTTGGGAGCTTCATAGTTGTAGAACACCTGGCCATCTTCCCCCAGCTGCACAATTTCCACTAAATATACATGTTGTTTGGGGGAATCTGGTGCTTACAATCTGCTAATTAATTTACTTTGAACAACTAAGGCAATGATTTTACCAGAGGCACCACCAGCAGCTGGTTACCAAAAGTTTTGCAAATAGGACAAGAGGTGACGTCTTCCAGAGACACACAGGAACTGGCAAATTTATGTGAAGTTAAAGAGACTCATGAGGTTGCCAAAGACAGTTATTAAGTCAGGAAAACTTTGGGGTCCATTCACAAATAGGAAGAGACAACCTCTAGAAATCCCTATTCTGACTTCCAGTAAGTAAGGGACAAAGTTTGTTTGCCATAAGAGGGACTCCTTTTCAAAAGGGTGAGCTGGTGAATACAAATATGGTTGATGTAAATTTAATTTTCAGCACATACCTTAGGGAGTTCCACATACTGAATGTTTTTACATGAACTCAAGTCAGAACAAGCACTGGAGTTTGCGGCACTGATACCGATCTAATAGAAAATGAAAAAATAACTGTGAGCAACGTTCAACATTTTGCATCAAAATAAAAGTAGTGCACAAGCATTTAAAGTGGGTCCGATCATTTTCTGGATTCATTTAAACTGCTATAACCCTATTCAAGGGAATGTCAGATTTACTTCATAGTTTAGATGAACATAAAGTAAAACAGAATTGAGCACAGCTGTACTAAATTCAGCAGCTTTACTAAAATCTCATTTGTTACTTACTTGGATTTCTGTTTCTTTTGCAGTATTTGCTAAGCAGACAGGGCACTCCTCTACTCAGAAAAAATATTAGTATCTCAGTAAAACGAGAAGACGAAAAATGTACTTTACCTCTTGATGCTGAAGTGTCCCTGAAGTACCCTGTGAAGGCTCTACTGACTTTGCTGGGCAAACAGCCATCTGATTTACTGCATCTTTATTTCTACAATAGATTCAGTCAAATAATGTAGTAAGAATGTAGCATCATATTTCTTAGAACAAGTTTAGGCCTAGCCCTTTCTTTTACTTTATCTCTGGCACTCACAATGCAAATATCAAAACAGAAAACTCAAGACATATTTAACTAGTATTAAGAAGTGGGTTCAAAAGCACATCCACCTTACCAAAATTTAAAATAAATGAGAAACACTCTGTGCAGAACTTGAGTATATTAAAAATAAGCCATTTTTGACAAAACTTGAACCAGAACTTACCTGACAAAGATTATTTTCACTTTGGATGGTGCACATTTGATTATTGAGGAAGCATTCTGATGAGTTCTTCCATACAGTATTTGCCCATTTATCTATACATAGGAAAGCAGCAATTATTTCTCAAAATATTTTAATTCCCTTAAACTATTTTTAAGCCTTAAAAAAATCCATTATCCCACATCACTGGCTAAAGTATAATTCTCTTAAAACAACAGAGTATGTCATGTCCTGCTTTCACTCTCTTCTTGCAGTACAAAATTCCTTATGGCTTGGTTTCAGACTAACACTGTCACAGTGCTAAAAATGTCCTTCTCTGAGTTATACTGGGTTGACTTGGCACATCATCTATTCCCACCTGTCATTGATCGCCTCATGACCGATGTAGTGATAAAGCAGGGCCATAGGAAATTCCAACCACAACAAATAAATTAACTACTTATATCCAGCAACGAGATCGCTATTATTTACCCAATCTCAGCTTTGAGCCAGGCACTTTATACACAGAAGTCTGAACACTGGTGCATTTACAATCTGAAGATTTGACCTGACAATCATTATCTTCATTTGGCAGAGCAGACTCACTGAAACCCCCTGAAGCTCCTATATTCAGATATGAGTGAAGGTATCAGCATGAATTTGCAGAATAAGGCCATTATTTGTTCACATTTTATCAGATGCATTTGTTCTTGGAAATGGAAAACTGCAGTGCAGAAGACCACTCTAAGAAAGGGTAAATGACTGGAAAAGGACAGCTTTACCTACACAAAGGGAAAATGTGACACACACCACAGCAGTACTAATACAAGCACAGATAAAAATGAACAGCAACAGATGTGAGACACTGAACTGAGGGCTGAGCACAACAGCAACCCCTCAGCTCCCACACAGGCTGCGTCCACCAGGCATGGTCACAGGATACTGAACCCTGTCATGTACACTAGAGGTGACAATCCAGATGCAGCACTGCTTCCAGTGTTTGCTTATGAAAACCATGGTCAGGCTGTCAGCTGGGGGATGGGGCATGGCCCACCACAGCTAATGGACAGCTACTTGGGAACGTATGGAGCAAGCTTGGATGTCTCCTCTCAGAAGAAGTTGAGACAATCTCTTTGCATCAGTTTGCAGGTACGGACAGAGAGCAAGAAATCACATGAAAGCAGACTCAGACAGATGTGTTTCAATGTGTTCTGAGGATATTCAGCATCTGCAACATCAAGGTTTTAAAAACAGGCATTTTACCTGCTTCAAGAGAACCATCTAGCAAGTAACACTGGACTTCGCAACTAACAGGTCCCTCCATAAGACCAGGTTCACAGTGCTACAAAACCCTTAGTTTCTCTCCTAGTCAGCAACTGCCAGGCTACATAGTGTCTCTCAGTGTCTCCCTCAAGTTTTGCTCAGTCTCGCTATTTCCTCCCTGTACCATCTCCCCAGTGCATCCTCAAACACCTCCATGTACAGTTCTGAAGTTACAAAAAGCATTTCTGTGAGGGTAATGTTACCTACTGCTGTCAGAAAGAATGGGAAAAGCTACAGCAGAGAATACATCTGAAAGTATAATCAACTGAACTGTAGTAATATAAAAATATATTTTATACTCATATACATACTGGTAAAGTTAGCTGTGTGTTCAGCAGTTGAGTCCCTTCACAAAGTCACTAGCAAACAACCTGAATGTGTCATGAGATGAAAGTCCATAATAAAAATGGATCTGTTCCTGTTTCCCCAATTTAATTTAAATTTTATATGTTACATAACATAAAAATAATCTGGTATTATCACACAGCAGACAGAGAAGTAATGAGAAAGTCCGGAGCACTCCACAGATGGATGGACTAAAGGACTCCAATATTTTCCACGGTCTGCAGTGCACTGCCCTTCCACACATCTCCATAACACAGAAACTGCTGTCATTCCCCATTTTTATCCATTTTAAATAACACACACACACCTTACCTAGTGCTACTGTAACCAGGAAAAAAAGTCCCAGCTGCAACTATTTGGCATAAATCAGAATGAAAATCTGGTAGCATAGTGATGTTTACTTGGATAAGTTGGTTATTTCCAAGTCCACTGAAGAACATATATAGCAGTAAGAATATAATATTTTAGTGCATTTTAAGTCAGTATGTTTGGGTTTCAGTATAAGTGGCAAAAACTCACCTCTAGTAACTCATCTGCAATCTGCAACCTGCCATCCTTTCCAGCTGCTCCATTTGGATCAATTCCCACTATAAAGACACTCATCTTGGATCGGTCTTTGTTACCAGCAAGACTAAGTCCCAGACCTGTCCTTCCTTTTTCCAGCTCAATCATGTGTAGCTCACCCGGTAGATTTCCATAGCGTTGCACGATCTTTTCTAAATGTAAAAGTGTGGGCAGCAGAGGCTGGAGTTACATTAGAAAATTCCACATGTCACCTAGAGAGTCAAGATAAGTGTCCAGTGGGCAGTATTTAAGAGAAGAATCCCAAAATGGATGAGAAAATTTTAAGTGTACACCACACTTTCTTTTAAGCTAAGCCTTAGGTGACTTAGAACAATATTTCTAATTTCTTGTTTTCCTTCTAGCTTCAGAAAACATTAAACCTCCTCTTAAAAAAAATATTTTCACACATGAAAGCAATAATCTTCCCTCCAGTAACATCTTCAGGTAACAGAAGCTACCACATCAATCACTGCCATCAGTTACCTAGAGTACAGAGGAATTCTGCAAGTAACCCTACATATGAAACAATAAATCTGGGCCATGGAGGAAAACAGAGATTGGAGTGCAGTGAAGGAGAACAAATAAATTTTATATTTCAGCATGTGCATCTGACCAAGCACAACTGAAAGCTGACAGCAACACTTAACAACCACGAGGCACACAAGAACAAAGTAGTTCAAACTGGACCCCCCGTATCTTCTGCTACAGTACTACTTCAACACTGAATATTTCGAACATTATCACAAAGGCTAAACTTACTCCAGCTGTAACCAAACTCATCTTCCTTCTCCACATCCTCTTGGACTCTGATAGAAGATGACTGTGCAACATCACAGCTCATTCCTGAAAATGCTGAAGGAGGGGGCAGAGGCAAGTTACAGAGCGAAGTCTTTTCTGGCTCTAAATCAGACTGACTGAATGCCTGTGGATAATAAGAAAAATAGAGTGGCTAAGCAGATGCAGGCTCTGTGTAGGGGAAACTAGCATACAAAAATGTTGAAATGGCAATGACTTTGGCTTTGAAGTTTAAACACCTAGCAGCTGGAATTCTAAATGAATAACATGGCACAGAAAGGCTGCAAGAGATTAAAGACAGAAACAAACACCAGGCAAGGTAACAGATAACATCACTCCAAAATGGTTTTGAAAGCAAACAGAACTCACAATAAAAGCCCAATTCAGTAAAGTTTTATGTGCCACTTTACATTTCAGAAAAAGTCTCTTAAAAAGACTCAAGTGATTTTTTTTTTAATGCCGCATTTGTAAAAAACTCCTACTTCATTTTATTTTTAAAGGCCACCACGCATCTCTTCCTACAATATGCTTTAGAAGCCAAATACAAGGAAGGGAAAGGAAATAAAGAACTTGATGCTTTTAAAAATGCTTCCAGAAAAAAAAAAAAAGTCATTTATTAACTGAAAGGACAATTTAAAATGAAAATGAAACAGATGATAACTGAATAAATCCACAGTAACTGGACTTTTTCAGTCTTATTTACTGGTTTCCTATAAGCTGCACAGAAGAGATTAAATAAAGGAGCATACAGATTAAATCACAAAGGAGAAAAATAATTCTGGTCTTGATGTACGTGGTCTATTCATAGTCACAAAAAGTTAAAAGTATAAACATATGGCTACTGCAACATAATGCTTAAATGCCCAAATCCACAATCTGGCAAGCCTCCATGCAAGTTAGTTTCCCTGAGGAATACGGACTCTGATCAGCGATTTGGCTAAGTGTTTGTAATTTGTATCATTTTGGCTCGCTCAGAGCAAACATGCAGGCAAGAAACTAATGTCTGAATATCATCATTCTGAAGCTTATGCATGCCCAACAGACTTTGATACTTGGCAGATTAGATGTTGATGTAAACAACAAAAACTTTAGATGAAAACCAGGTATTTCTCTAACACTAGGATTTTCAGGTGTTGCCCTAGCTTCTCAGCCCTATTCTCATCATTTCAGCTTTCATTACCTCCATTAGCAAAAGTTTGAACACAGTATCTCAGATGGTGTTTCTGGGTGCCAAAAACAGCAAGACAATTTCTTCATCAGAGGCAACAGTGTCATGAATAACAACATACACCTTGGAAGACTTCAATCTGCTTTAAACTGAAGGTGTTGAAAAAATAGAAAGTTATCAATTTAGTCATACTGAGATTTAAGGAAAGTCCCAGGGAAAATGAGTTACTGTCATTCTCTGTATACTCCAAAGATATAAAGAAAACTCAACTTCAGTTCCCTCATTCTGCTTCTGCTTGATAAAAGATTTTCCTTTCATTCAGGAATTTGTGCTAGGAGCTTAACTAAGATATCATTAAATGTCAAAAGTGTGGGAAGTTTTAATATGGCACCCAAGGGAATCATTTATATAAAAAAAATGCCATATAAATGCCACATATCTTTTTATCATTGTATAAGTCACGTTAACCTGTGCCTCAAATCTAAGACAATGCCATCCTGCTGAGATGATATCTTGCATCACTAAGTCTCATGTAAGAATTATTTATAGTTTATGCCAATTATACTGTAAAACATGCTAGCAGTTACAGTAAACCTCAACCGAAGCAGCAAAATTATAGCAAAGACATTGTTACCCATAAGAATCAGAGTAGGCTAGAAACATTACTTAATAACATTCAAAGTGATTTTTCATAATCAAAAATTCATGTATCCCCCACGGATAAGAGTTGGTGACAGACCTCTACCTCAAAGACTGGCAAAGGAGAGAGTAGTTCTAGAAACACCAATTTTTTAGAGTGCTTCCTAGAGTTTTAACTAGAAAGCTACATTATATACTGAAAAAATGAGGAAATACAGTGTGAGAGCAGACCAGATCAGCAGATCTCACAGTAGCCTCTGTGTTTTAAAACCAAAATTAACGGATTATGTTAGCGGTACTTTGGGTAAATGACAGTGTTCAAGAACTCTGCAAATTTAAAGAAAACATGACCAAAATAAAGAACAAAAAATTGCCATCAAGGATCTCTGAAGATCTATAAGGTGTGGATGCATGCATACATCCTGACAGATTAGCCCTTATAAACTGCAGCCACCATAATCTGATGAAAAATGCTTCTTTCTGTACTTCTGTGCATGCGTACATAAACCTCAACATGCCTGATGTTTAAGGAAATGCCAAAACAACAGTAGAAGCAAGGCTGCTTTGTGAAAAGGGTAAAAAGGATGTTACAATGCCTGTTGGGTGGAGGGGACCACGTTCTGCCTCAGAACTCAGCCTGCCACACATGCACTGCCAGCAGCAGAAGCTAGTCTCCGCAGCTTACACACACATAAGACTTTTTATCCCTGAATCGGGCCACACACAAAAAACCTAAAATGCTTTAACTCATGAAATACTTTCCGTGTGCCACAGCACAGTATTTCATTTAAAATGCAAAGCACCAGACCCATTTGGTCACCAGCGTCACTCCAATCACAGCCAAGCAAATATTAAAACCGGCAGCAAGTCTGGAGCAGTATCACTTTCAACAAAGGAGGCACACGCAGAGGAAGAAGCAGTACTCTGGAAGGTATCACAGGCCATGTACAAACATACAGCACACATACAATAGGACCCACTCACTGGAATCAAGACAAACCTTGAACGGTGTGGGAGCAAAAGGGTTAGTTGGGGAACAACGGAAGGTAACCCTAATTGGATTCAATATCTCCTACAGTAACAGAAAACAGCAATCCACATGTTACAGCATCTTTGTCAATACACAGTACTATTAATGAATAACTCATTTTCAGCTATGGATTCATCTTACTAACCACAGCAATGTTATTAACTCCACTTATAAATGGACAAAAGTATTAAAGGGGTTATTAAGGACTGAAGATTCAGCAAAGTTTCCTACTGTACAATAACCTTAGTTCAGCAGAAGCAGACAGAGACGACAAGAGGCCATTCTTATCTCAATATTAAAAAGGAATTATGCAGAAATTGCAAAAATATTAGGCTTTCTCCAAAAATACATGCTTCTTTTTTCAGAAATACTTTTGAAAATATAGAAAATACAAGCAATCATCTGTTATGATTCTACTCCCTCTCCTCTGAAATGTAACAAAGACAGATTTCAAAAATATACATGCAATTATATACTACATATCATATCATAAATTTTCATTGTACATTTGATATATTTGACAACATGGGAAAACAGACAAAGGGCACAATCACTCCCAAGATATATAGCCAGCTAGAAATTATTTTATTAAATCAGAAATGCATTCACACAAGAATTAAGCCTTTATTATTTTGTTAGAGACTAACTGTTCCCAATATGAATAACATGCAGCAAGCACTAACCACAAAAAACAGAATCTGATTTTTTCATATTTCCAAAGATGTCAGCATCCTGTTCACGGTGCATTCAAAGAATTTTCAAGAAGCAGAGAAAAAATATTTTCAGCATCATAATACGAAAGCTGTTAATCTTTTTTTTCATGCAAAAAGCAAAAAAATATATATCAAAGCTGGAAAGTCCTAACCACATAAAAAGAAAATGGAATACAGAGCAGCAAAACACCTCCCGCTGATGAGAGAGTTACACTCAGGTGGATATTTTAACATATACCACAGAGACTGATTTTGTAATTGAGCACCTACTCTTTTGGTAGCTCTGATTAGGCCAGATTTGGTGGGTATGATAATGAGCTGGCATTTTTTAACTTCTTCAAAACTTTTCTATGTACATGCGTGTCTGTGTCTTTGTAATTCACTACACAGAATTTCCACTCTCATCAGCAAGGTATTTGACACAAATTTACATAAAAGACTTTAAAGACAGAGAGACACAAACAGCAAAGAAGCACACATAAAATGTTTGGTGTGTCAAAAGCAGACAGCAAGTCATCATCCAACCTTCTTAATGCTGAACTGAGAAGAATCAGCAAACGGGTTAGTGCTGCTGAAGACAGCTGGCCTATAGAAAAGACTGTTCTGCGAGAAAGGCAGGGAAGGGCTCTAAAAGGAAAATGTAATAAAAACTAAGCAAAAACATTTTAAAAAGAACCCTTTGTGACTCACAAAACAAAACACACTTTTTAGCAGTTTGAGGTAACCAAACAACGTCTGCTTCCCGCACTTCCCTACAGACATCAGAAGGTAAGCGAAACTGCATTTGCCCTGTGTTTGTATCAGCTATGTTTAGCAGATAGTAGAGAAAAAGCACCAATCCTCACACCCGTTCTAGCTCACAAAGTGCATAAAGTACAGAATGCAGCAGCATGAACAACACAAAATTTACTTGCTGTGCTATTTGTACAATTTGTGCAAGCAACTCAGCATATGGGATACTCTTGCCCATTAGTTAATTATAAAATTGTGGATATCTGGATTAGAATAAAAGGTTTATTTTTATTTTGAAAATCACAGATTAATTCTCGTAATTTGATTTACCTCTTGAGGTGACACACTCATTGTTAATTTCACAAAAGAGAAGGTTTAGGAATATTGGGCATCTCTAAACAGGCTTCATAGCTAATAACCACTTTTACAGCTCACTTTGTATGTGTGTGCATGCATCTATAATTCACTGAATTTATAGTTTAATAAAAGTAAATTTTCTAGTCTTCTCCTTAAACAATGCAAGATACTTCTTTATTATTACTTAACATAAAAAGAGTTTTCATGTTCAGACAAGATTAAAGGATGTAATGTGACCATTTATATTCCTTATGCAGTTTTTGTACTGTACTCTATTTGTGATCAGAACCTGTTTAATAAAGATAGGACAGCCCTGATTTTGCACACTGTGTTGGAAATACTGTTCAATGTATACTTAAAAGTAAGTTTTACAGTATGTATATCCATCTGGCAATTGCTTCCATGTCTTAGGGCTGGAAGTTCAACACTGCTGGAAACTAAGCATAGTAAGTGGAATGGAATGTGAAAGGCTTGCAGCATCAACTGATACATTTACATCATGGCAATTTAATCCAGATATATGTTACTGCTTGAATATTTTCTTAAAGCATTTTGGTTTTCTAAATGTTCCTGAAAATAGAAAATGCATCCCTAAACATTTATGCTCAAATATCATTTTGCAAAACAAAAAGTAATGTAATTTGGTAAGACAACGTATGTCTTGGTTCTACAGTATCTTCAGCAATGAGAAAGTAGAGTTGTGCATGAACAAGTTTTCTTCACTGATGAGTCACCCACAGTCAATAGCCAGTTCCCCTACAGTACAACGTTTTCTGTTTACACATGTGATTCACATTTGATTTTGTCTTTTATAGAAGTTTGGGAAAAGAAATTTGCCTATTACACTTTAACCATTACATTTGTCATCTGCACAAAATTTTAAATTGTATCTTGATGAAACTTTGAGCAACTGAAATAAGCATCACAAACATTTTGTATATAAATACTGAAATTCTAGTAAAAGAGAAAAACAAAGATAAGTCACAGTAATTAAAAATCTTGCCTTTTGTATTTTTTCATTATGACATAGCACCTAAAAATACTACTGCTAGCTCAAATTCTAATCCATGCAACAGCATTGCACTGATATGGCCTGACTGCTGTAATAAAACATGGAGCATTTGAATCTGCCTAAACAGATAGGTTTTAAACTGTGCACATGAAGCATGCTGTCTTGTACAGTCTAGGACCAGAAAAGCAAATGCTAAAATAAAGGGTATTTTTCCTTTTACCCTTATTTTGTAAAACAAAACCTAAAATAACAGGATTTATTTTACCTTTTTTTTTTTTTTTCAACTAACTTGTGTTCAGCATTTTATTAATGTGTCCAGGATGCTAGGGTATCTAGAAACCAGCTAGCACTTCATATAGCATAAAGCTGTAACCCTACAAATTATCTGGGATCATAACCCTGGTGACTGATTAATTCTTACTCAGAAATACGCAGAACAGTATCAGTATGAAACACAGATTTGTTGGATAACTGCTTGCTAGCAAAACTAGCAATTAGATTTTCACAGCCCATTTGCATTATTTGGGCTATCCTGGCATGTGCTTAGGATCTCTTTAACTACTACAGCAGCCTGAATGAAGAAAACAAAGGGGAAGAAACTGACTCTTCCTCAAGATGTCACTTGAAACAGACTGCCTTGCTAAATACATAGTGGTACCATATTAGATGTAGCTACTGTGTGCAGGCAGCTAGCTATCTGGGTGACCGCACATGAATGAAGGCAGGAAATTCCCTTATGAGGTCTTATTATAAAGTACAGATGCAAGTTTCAAAAGATGAAGACAATAAATATAATGCCATTTACAAAGATCACAACACAAAGTGTGTGTACAGTAAGAGCATTTGCAATGTTTTTGCTTACAGAGAAACAAGAATTTGTTAATAAACAGTGAAGAAATAACCAGCAAGCTTAATAACTGGAAAATAAAAAGAACAAAGAACTACAATTAAAAATAGCAAAGAAGCATTCTCTAAATAAAAGTAATTTGTGATAAAGTAATGGCATCATTCCTGTCCCAAACTGGCCTAAACATTCAGCAGTGGCAATTTTGTTTACATCACAGCAAATAAAAAAGCCTTACTTAGTAGCAAGTATCAATAACCAACATTCAATAGAGCTTTTTCATGCAACTTTACCTGAGATGACTGATGATAAAATGGGTTAGTAGTTTTCTGCCCACAGGGAGCAGAAGCTGAAGAAGAGCTACAAAGAGACTCTGGCTGGGGAACAAGAGTTATGAGACAACTAGTAAATAAACATGCAGCTTACACAGTCTACAAAGAGGAAGTTTAGTTTCTAGTCATGCAAGCAACTTATATTAAAGCTGAGTAGCTTTTGTCTGCAATGTCCATGCAGCTTAGTGACGGAAAACTTCCGTGTACTTCTAGGTCCTTTCATTAATGTCCAATGAATTTTTTAACAGGTGCTGTATTTCTGCATGCGCTCCTCAGACATGCTGTCAATCTCTAAGAGTTGGTTTTAGATAAGACTCCTACTCTGCCCCCAAACAAATTATCTTTCTTGAGGCTTTTCAAAATAGTTTGAGGACGGCGTGCTGGAGGGTAATTCCAAATCCGAATCGATTTCATTCTAAATGGAAATAATACTTAAATCAAATCTTTGTTCCTAAAATAGCTGAGATGGAACTTTCAGGATTAAATACACCATTCCCAAACACCACCACCTTGGATATTTGTTTCATCTACTACTAAGTATTACATCTCTTCTCATATTCTTTATGCTTACCCTTGGTCTGCTTATAATGCTCTGTACCATAAAGACTACTGGATTGCCTGCCTTCCGTATGGCTTCCACAGCTTGTTCGTGGCTGGCATCTCTGAGGTCAATTCCATCCACCTGTAATTGGAAGGCCTCATCTTAACATTGCAAGAAGCTACAAGAATCATGACTCAGTTCTGGGTTTTGGTTAGGGAACTTCGACTAAATCCTGGAGACCAAACCTCTATTACTGGTAGAAGTGCTTTTACTGACTTGGCCTGAGGTCTCTCACACACAATTTGAGATTTCCAAGAGCACTGAAAGGACATCAAATAAATATTCTCCATGGTTTTAAAAACAGTTTTTTCAATATTCTTGCTTCAGGCTCCATACGTTTTCTCACAGCCAACATAATACAAGAGATATGATAACCAGAGACAAGGTAATCTGAAGAGAGTGGTAGCATTTGCCAAGTACCGCTTCCTGTAAATCCTATTTCGGAATAAACTACCTTCCAGGACTTTATGAGATTTACAAACTGAAACTTGCTAGGTGCTGGAGGGTCTTTCATTATAGGATATTATGTCAGTATAGTATGCTTTTTTCCCTTTTTCTTTTTCTTTTTTTTTTTTTTTTTTAAAAAAGCAAGACACTTTCCCCAAAAGTTAGATTTTTTAGGTCAGACCTGAAAAGCTTTCTCTCTTCTAGAAGAAAGCATTTACAAAGGATGGCTAAGGACAAATTTTTGCCTGGTTACTTTTCTTCATGCCTTTATATGTATTGGTGTAAAGCAGTTTGTCTCGCAATCCAGGTAAGAAAAATGTTATGGTGAGGTTAGCATCAGTAAAGCACTCTCACAATGACAACAATAAAAGCTAGAAGATAACACAGAAGATTCTTTGTTAGTGGCAATTCTTGCACACAAAGTTATGTAATGAGGATTACCCCTGCCTTTCTAATTGTCTAACTCTACCTTAAGCATAACCATCCAATGTAAATAAAGAAAGAATGAAAACAATCTGCAAGAGAAAAGTCTAAACCTATAAGGAACTCAACAACATCACTAAGGCTCTCTGACTCCCTGTGTCTGAAATACTGTATGCATTAGCAGAGAAAAGCCTAGACACCCCGCAACTTGAGAAACTGAAATAACCCATTCAGAAACAGTCACATTAACACAACATTGGCTACTTAATGTCACTCACCCACTGCAAGCATCATTGTCAGAGACAATCGCTGCATTCATAAAAATATAGGTATCCAGATACAATGAATGTTTTTTAACTTTGTGGCCACAAAGCAAAAATCCACCTCCCAGCTTGTTATACACTGGAAACGCTTCCATTCTGTTGTAGAAAGTGCTACCTACACTAAAGTACCAATTCAAGATCCTTTATATGGATCTTGTAGCAGACAGTAAATGGCGGTTTAAGTATCACTATGTGAAGCAAGCCCAGCCTGATCCACAGGAAGCATCACCACCTCCATCACCCTGCTTGTTATGTTCTTACTGATGGACAGTCAGCTAGGGGCATCCAGCAGGGTGAAGAGGAGTGCAGTTCCTAAAGGCCTGAGAGTGGAGATGGGGTAATGTCTTATTGATAATCACTAGAGAAAAGACACATTCCCTTCAGTATGTTCAATCTTTAATATCTTTAAGCCAGAAACCAGAAGTGGCTGCGTGAGCACAGGACTGGCTAAGCAGAAGTCTAAATAAATTCCTCCTGCAACACCACTGGCTAACCTATCCTCAGGTATGGGCACAATGCTCTTAACTTTCTCTGTCTGAAAGCCAGCCTTCTTCATGCCAGCAGGAAAAGAACTGTGTCTCCCTTAATTTCTGCACAAAACGCACAAGAATGATGCATTCTCATTAAGATTTAAGAGGGAAACAAGCCTGGCATTTATTTGCATTATTTGCTATCACTGGCCATTTCTGTTGCTATCTAGTACACACAGGGAAAACATTTTACCTTCACCAAACTGAAGCTTTTTCCTGGCTTTAAAACAGGCAAGTAGAACTGATGGCTTTGGAGACCCCTCCTCACGCAGTCAGTCACCTATGCTTTAGATTGTATATTCAAATTAAAGCTGCTTGCATACCAACATCAGCAGATGGTACTACACTCTGCATGGCTGAAGTGGTGCCAGCTGGAGCAATTACACAGCTGTTGGCCCAGGACCACACATCCATCTCAGCGGCTCCTGAGATGCTGGGGGTATTGCAAGCAAAAGCCACTCAGGTGGTACCTCCACGATCCGATCTCCGGTTTTCAGTGTTCCATTTTTGCCAGCTGGGCTGTCTTCCAGGATGTGCTTGATAAAGATCCCTCTCATCACCTCTCCATTACTGAGGCGGCTCCCCATCCCTCGACCTCCAACAATGCTGATCCCCAGTGACTTGCTAGGCTCTCTCCAGAGTTCAACTCTGTTGTGACAAAACAGGGACCAAAATAAATGAAAATCCGTTGTGACAACGCTGCACACTGAAGACACCTGGATTTGCACAATGGTTTAAAAACGTTCAGAAATAACTCCTCCTTGGAAAGTTTTGTCAGGAGTTGTCTACTGAATTGCTCAGAAAGTCTGCAATTTTGTCTACTGTTGTTCACTTTATTTTGGATTCTAATCAAAACTTTGAATCCTTCTCTTCATCTCTTCTTACCGGCTCCCAGAAAGTCAGCCCATAAAGATAAACTACTAAGGCAATCCAGAAACTGCAAAATTGTAGGAATTTAGTCCAATGTCAGTAAAAACCCACAGTGAATTACTCTTGCAATGCACAATATACATAAGTGCAGCAATTCTGTTGTTTTCTTATTCCTCTTAAAATACATTTCAGGTTTCAATTTTTTTTAATTTTAGATGAGATTTCATGCTGTGCTACTACATCTGCACTTACTTTCTGGGCTGGTTCCAGTTACTGAAAGCCGCATTTTGAAGTTCACTTTCTTCTCCCTCCCCCTCTTCACGTTCTGGAAGCTCTGGGAGTTCCCTGCTGATGAACATGAACATGAAATTAATTTTTAAAGAGGCCACATAATCCCTAGCTTTCACTGCAAAATTTCACGTATTGGATCACCCTGCCAGCATTAGAATTTGCACAAGGAACTTCTTTTTCAGATGTCTGTTAGAATGCATACTGTGTTTGGGGATTCCTTGTCTACTTCTCTCTGCAATTAAGTTGCTATCAAATGACAGCCACAAAATACAGACTCTGCATTTTGTACCTAGAACCAAATCAAAGCTGAAGGTAATTACTTATTGTTTCCAAAATGGAATAAATTACAACAGCAGCATTGAAAACCAGTTTGCTTTTGGAAATTAATTTCAAGAAAACAAAAATTATTAGTCACTGAATATTTTGGCCTGTAATTGTAATGAATTTTTGAAACTCAAGAAAAAGCACATCATAATTCATTCTTTCCAGTATACGTTCCGGAAAGACCATCAATGCCAAATTCTCATGTTGAAAACACTGAGTATTTGCAGTGATGAATAAATTAAATTGTATAGTATTTAAGAGAAGCTTAGGATGAGGTAATATTCAATCTTCTTTTTCAGTAGATCAAACACCTATAAAACAGCCTTGTAAAAATATCAAAAAATTTGCTAGCCAAAGCAAAAATCATATTCTGAACAGCTTTTTTATTGTAATGGCTGCTGGTCTGAAGAAGATCATCCATCTTTCACCTCTTCAAAAATGAAACCTAGCCTACTGAACTGCGCAAAGTGTATGGAAAGAGTTATATCTGAGAGCCCTATAGGAGAAAACAGTAAGTCTTTTGACTCACCTGACAGTATGTGAAGGAAAAAGTTCAAGTGGCCCAGATCCCTCTGTTTGTTGTCCCAAACAGGCCCTGTATTCGTCTAAATTTTCCGCTGGCACATACGTAATACTGCAATAAAATGGGACATGATTAAAGTAGCATGAGGACTTTTGTTCCTATCTTTGGTGAGTGTGAAGAACGGATATGAGGAAGCCACTCAAGACTACTTCATATAGCCATTGACTTCAAAACCACAGTGCTGGTATGCTGGGAATAAGGAGTTACATGAATCCTTTGTGACTTTGCAACAAATATGCATTTATGGTCAAATTAGGTAACTGAACAGCACATAATTTTCTGAGGGCTCACCACTCCATTTTAAATAAATGGTGCTTGAACAGTGACAAGAGTATAATACAGACAATCCAGCTCCAGTCAAAACAGAGATTCCTCATGCAGAGACAAACACTGAAGGGTCTGTGAAGTGTGAAGGACCATTACCATTCTAAATGCTGGCTGAAAATGCTTCTGGAAGTTGGCTTGAAGGAGGTTTTGTGTTTTCCTGGGTGGCTTCGTATTTATTTTAGGTTTCTACACTTTCGGTGAGAAGTACTGCATGGGTTTGGACATACAAACGTATAATAGCACACCACTAATGTGGCAGGGAGCAATCCCCTGCTCAACTCCTTCCTCCACCCCTTCATGCCCTTCCAGCCAGCTGGGACAGTCAGACAGTCATGTTTCAGCAGTCAATGCACACTCTTGAAGCCCTGGTGTACTCCTGAAGCCCTGCTGTAACCCAACCGTGTTTGAATGCCAGAAACAGAAATGGCACAATAGACTGGGGAAGGAGAAATAAAGAGAAGGAAACAAGATTAAGGCATGAAGAATATCTTTTAAAAAACTTTCCTCTACAGGCAAAAGGACACCGTGATCTAAACCAGTGCTACTTAGATGATCCTCCTTTAATGATGCTTTGTCTTCTTAAAAATCTTTAGCTGTTCAATAAGCAGCTTAGCTATAAAATCCAAGTCTGACAAGAAGTAAGGCTGATGGAAAAAGAACACAAGAAAGATAGCTGTTCTCCCATCCATCACATGGTTAAAAGAAACATGAGCTGCCTCCCCACAGAACAGAGAGAGCAAAAAAAGATAAAAATCCTGATCATTTCCCAGCAACATGTAAGCTGCTGAGGACTGACTCCTTGAGCTCTGAGTCTCTCACTTACTTAGAGCCCTCTCCTGTCTGTCACTCCCTGACTGTCACTGGTTCCCCTTCTTGTGCGTTTTCTGCTGAATACAGCAAGCAGTAGAAGGCAGAGAAAATAAACTTTTATATGACTAATGTTGTCTGTCCAAAACACTTGAAATACTAGGGCCTGAGCAGTGAGGCTCTGAACCAAAGTTGACCTCTAGATGAACCTCACAACCTAACAATATACCTAATATGTATAATATTGATCACATATGCAATGTATTACCTTATTAATATACACAGTAGTTTATAAAAGCTTTGCTGTAACACTTACAGAGCTTTGCTGTAACGCTTGCTGTGTAAGGTTCGCCAGCAGAAAGACACTGATGGTGTAACAGTAGCCAAAATTAAGCATGGATGTGCCTTATCACCACAGATGGCAAAGGAATGTGGCAAGTTGTGATGAGCTTTCTTGAGAGATACATAATCAAGATTAGTAGATTCTTTTGTTCTTGTTATCTTTCTTCTCTTGTCCCCAGCCAGGCTTGAGACTGAAGTTAACAAGGAGAAAACCACACCAGATGTTTCTCGCAGTTTAAGATAGAAAGTTGTGTATTCAACTGTATAAAAGTGGGGACGATTTGCAGGGAAAACTGGAAGCCCCATCTATACAGTGGACTCACCGTATAGAGAATTCCCAATTGCAGGGAATGGTTCTCGCCAAATCCTCCCTGCAAATGGGCTGCCCAGCGACTGCGCATCTTTATGATGGTAAAGTATTAATAGGGCAATTGGTGATGTATCTTTCTTAATCACTATCGCTAACTCTGTGTAGTAATGATTAGGTGTATTACCTTACTTTCTGTTTGCTATAGTAGTTTGCTTATTATTTTGCTGCTTTACCTTGTCTTGCTTTAATTTATTTTCACTGTATTATTTTTCTCATTATTTTATCACTTCAAACATAAGTAAAAACTAACTAACTTCTTTAACTTGGTGCCTGTGTCCTTTGTGCCAACCCTGCCATTTGGCAAAACAACACTCTACCAAAATTATCATAAAGACCATCTTTCTTTGTCATCTCTGTCTGTGCCCAAGCATGTTCCCTACCTCCTCTTCACATCTACCTTATCTAGAAAAGTGCAGAAGATGGTCATTAAGGAGGTGTCTAGGGTGCTGAACAGAAGAAGCCCTCCCGCTCTTTTAATGGAAATTTCTAAATAATCCACATTATCACCAGCTTCTTTCTCTTCCTTAAATCTCCTCCCACTTCTGCTTTGACCTTTTTTCAAACACAAAAGTGTTATGTGCTTTACACAAAGTGTTTTCATTCTGAAGTGCTGCGAAGTTAACATACACTAGGGAACAAACACTCAGCAGAAGACTACTGATTCTGTCTTTCCTGAGGGCATTCCAGCACTAGAAACATGCAAGACCTGCAGTAGTTATTCTGCAAAGCCCTAGCAGTGAAACTCAGAGAAGCAAGAGGGAAAAGAGTTTCTGAAAATAATCACTACTACTTCTCAGCCATCTTCAACTTCAAATACAATGAACTATTACAAAGTGGTCACAAAACTCATGGGACAAATGCTGCTGCAGAAGCAGTACCTAGTAAGCTGATAAGAATACCTTGCCTGGACAAAAGTTACAAGCTGTGCAAGCTGCATTTCAACGAAAGAAAACACACCATTCATCCAATTACATTAATCAGTTTTATCCCAAGCAAATTAATCAATTTTCATCCTATAGAAATAAGTAGGAAATAATGTATTTTCCCTCGAAAGACAGCTGCAGTAAAGAAACCAGTATTGCAAGAAACATTTCTGCTGGCTAGAAGGCTTGGACCATCTCCTTTATGCTAAACCGCATCTGGAAGCTATTGTTCAAAGTATGGAAGGGAGAATGGCAGGCTCCTAAAAAGGAAACAGATATGCTCAGATTCAGCCTGTATGTAGACAGTAGAGTGTGGCCACTGATAGTAGAGTGTCCAATATCTTTCAACTCCTGTCTAATCCTTTTGTGCAAGGAGCACATGGCAAACAACTGTGCAGGGTCCCAAGGTTCAATGGCAGTAGCAGTCCTTACCTCATACTTGAGTGCAACACCGGTGTTAGAGATGAGGTAAGCAGGAGCCAAACCACATGCACTCTAACTTCTGAGATACCCTGTCATTTTTCATTATAGGAACCAACATTGTGCTGGGACATTCAAAAGGTACAGCCCAAGGGATGGTCTCAAACAGCCCTATAGGCTACTTACAAACACCTCCCAAAAACTCTTGTTATGTAGGTAAGCTTTCCTTTCTGCGTACAGCACAGGAACTGAGAAAAAAAAGAGGTTCACTCCAGTATTTAAAAAAACACATCTAAAATTGAGCAACCGAATTACCCAACTGATTTCCACAGATGGAATAAAATTTGGGTAGTATCCCTGGGAGCTGTTACATTTTAGCTTTTTGGAAAATTACATTACTTCTATTCTAATGCTTAACTACTGTTCTAATTGCCTAATTTTAAGCACTCAAAGGTACATTCAATATGTTTTTAACTGTTCATTCTTATCTACAACTAAACCTCAGTAATACTACAGCTAAATCAAAAACAAGAACATTTACATGCATTTTGAAAAAAATAGTATAGAAAAGAAAACGAGATTAAATGGATCAAGGGCATGGAAAGGTATATTCTGTGTAGGAGTTCACCTTTGTTTCCCGCTCATGATTTCTGTAGTTAGTTAACTGCAAAGGTTTCCCTAGCTGCTCTTTTTAGCTAAGCTGTATTACTGATGTGACTGTCCTCCACCACTCTCTCCTTTGCCTGTTATTATTGAAATGAAAAATTATACAAAAACCCTAGGTCTGCTGAAAATTAGTTTCGGGAAATATGTATACCAGGAGTTGCCTTTGCTAAGTGGCTGTCTGTCCTGCTCCTGCTTTCTGTGACACACAGCAAGGTCAGATTGTACTAAAGACCTTGGATTTATATCTCCAATAATTTTTTCCCTGTTCAGCATTTCGTGGGCAGACACCCCAATTATCAAATCCCTTACTTGCTGGATCATTACTGTAGCTCACTTCTTGGAGGTCACAGTGAGGTCTGAAGACATCCAGCATCATCCTGAACAGATCAGCATGTGCCTGGGGTGATGAGAGGCCCAGAACAAGAAGGGTGTTGGGCTCCTCTGGTCAACTCTGTTGACCCTTGTGCTCTAAAATGGAAATAAAAATCTTCCCAGGCACACGAATGGTTCATCTGCAAAAGGGACTGATAATATGGTCATAGGAAAGAGAGTAAGAGAAACAAGTGGCAGGAAGTAGGGATGAAGACACAGGAAACAGCAAACAAGTAAATGACTCCTCTACTGCTGTGTTGCATTTCTTATCTGCAAAAGAAGATAAAGTTCAACAATTTCAAGAGAAAGTATATGCAGGGTTTAATCATTTTCTTTCTTTCATAGCTCTACAGCTTGAAGGAGAAAGTGTTCTGGTTTCTTTTCTTGAGAGCTAAAACCACCCTCCTCCCCCCAGAGAAAAGTACTAGCAATGAAAGCAGTGACAATGAAAACACCAAGAGTGTACACATGAAAATATTTTGTAAACACAACACCACATGCAGTACAGAGGAACATTTATCACATGCTTGACTGAACAGCCACACAAAACCTTGAAACACCAACAAACCAAATAACAAAGTACGGAAAATGTTGAGGACAAATTACTGTCTTTAACACTTAAGGTCTAATTTGAACCTTTTTATACATGAAGAAAGTAAAATGTAAGTGCCACAGAAAATATGACACTGAGATTAATCCAGATATCAGTACATCATACTCATGTCAATTCTAGCAGTGAACCCGTTATGTACACACACACACACGCACACACACACGTGCATGTGCTCCAAGCACATCTGGGGTGGCTGTCATAAGTGAAACTGAAAAATATTAGCAGTAATTTTTTAGAATACAGGTATTTTCATTCCAGTCTTAGGAAGTATGATCCAATCTTCAAGTTTAAGCCGTATATATCTACGTACATACACACACACACACACACACACACACACTCATACCTTCTTTTTAAAAAAAATATAAATACACATCCGCATGTGCAGCCACATGTGCATGCACACACACACAAAGAGAGAGAGAATATGTACCTATATCTGGATATATCCCTGACATTACTATGGATGTCATAAGAGCATGAAATGATTTTACAGACAAGTTGCAACATAGAGCCATAATGAGTTTCTGAATCGCCAATACTCACACATAAAAGGGGGCCTGATCATCAGCAGGTGCTGGAGAAGATCTAGAATGTGAAGCATACGATGCAGTATCTTTTTACAATGGTGTTAACAAATGTCAATGTCCCATGCTGAATGTGAGAGGCATACTTAGGTAGTCAAAAGTGTGAGCTGCTTTTGGTTTTTTCTTCCTCCTTTTTCTTTTCTTTTCTTTTTTTCTCCTGTTCCACCTCCACTTCATCTACAACTCCCCCAGAAAGCATCTGCTCTTTATTATTGTCTACAGCAGTGATAATTAACAAGCATGCAAAATCGAGTTGCAATCTGCCTTTTATTTCTTTATCAGGAATTCATCTCCACACTTTAGGCAGGTGAATTCTGATTCAGCTCTGTAATTATCTCACAGATGTTACAAGCAGCTGCTCCTGAGCACAAAACCCTGGCTATTATTACAGAAATATCAGAGCTCCTGGCAAGGTAGAGTGCAAAGTGAAACAGAATGCATTCTGGTAAGGCCACACATCTGGTTTTACACGCACAAAGGGGAAAAAAAATAAATATCTAAGTCTGAAACTCAGATTGCTGGTTCTTGAACTATTAAAAATCAAATTTCCTTTAACAAAATAAAGCAAAGCCCTTAGGCGGAAAGTAAGAACAGCTTTATGTTTCACAGCAAATAATGTTTGTCACTGAAAGACCGCTTTGAAATTAAAATATTTCTGCTTAATCATTTTTTGGGGGCACCCTGCTACCCAAAAAAATCTCAGTCTAAAAGTCACGGTGCCAACTTCGCAGCCCTGCATGGATGAAGAGGATTGATATCAAGATGGCCACATGTGTGCTTGTGCATCCTTGTTTCCGGAAGACGACACCAAAGAGATTCTACTTGCTTATTTGAAATGCTGGCCTTTAAATCACAAATTCTGCATGGTGGTGCATCAGATTAGTTATGAAATGACATCTGTATAGCTGTGTATCTCTCTCAGTGATTAGAAAGAACTACCATGAGATAATGCTCCATATCTCCAAATTTCTGATTTGGGACACTACCCCTATGTTTTATCACAATATCTGTCTGGGACACTGTACCGCTCCTGAAAGTACAAATTACAGAAAAGTTTAATTATGCTGAATAGTTCTGTACCAAAACTATGTAGGCCCAAAAATATTGTCCCTATTCTTGCAAGACTCCTCTAGAAGCTACCAAAGGATTTGGTCTTTCAGTTCTTTGAAGTGCAGAAGCCAGCTTTACTTTAAACCCTTATCATAGGAATGCATGATAGATTTATGAAGAACATAAATGTAATATGAAAGACAAAAATCTTAAGTAAGAATATGAATAGCAACTGCCCATTTTCTGTGAGATCTTTCAGAAAGGGGATGCACTTTTCTCTGGAAAAACTGAATATTCACATATAAGACAAGATTTTGTTTTTTCCGACATATTTGCAAAAGACTAAGAGTACAAAAAAAACCCACTTTATAGTCACATAGTGTAAAATGCAGCAGCTATAAAAGTTAAAAGCATAAGCACAAATAATGAACACATCCATGCTTGATCATGTAACTACAGCACTAATAAAAGCCTCCTCACAGATGAATGGTGCTGTAGTGTTTGTGTATCTAAGCAGACACACACACGCATGCGCACATACCCACAGACTTCAGTCATGACATTCGGAATTATAATACAGTTTGAAAGCCTACAATAATAATCAATGTCACATTTTACCAGCACTGAGTTGCTCATATTCATGACAGCATTGACGATAACGTAATTCATTATATGAGTATATCCCGCTATTTAAACAAGATTGTATTAAATCATAATCCTAAACACATGACAGCTATGGGGCAGACAATTAAACCTACCACCCACAGTGAAGATACTTTACCTACCTGTTCCCAAAATGCCAAATCTCCTCAAGCTACAGCAGTTCTGGGGAAGAACAGAATGCCCTAGAGTCCGTTTGGAACTGACAGAAACCACACAGCTACTGGCAACCACACTGGGACTGAACTGATCCCTTTTCAAGGCCACATTCTTATTTAAGCAGAGGTTTCTATTATCAACACTCCATTAATCCCATTTTCAGATCTGACCCAATCCACTTTGCTATGGGTTTAAGGAAAAATGCTGCTAGGTTTTTGGAGCTGTAAACCCACAGTGGTGTGTCTAGAGCACCGTCCGCAAGTTAGGAACAAACTCTTTTCTAGATGGTGCATGAGGGCAAAGTTAACGCCACAACCATAACAGCTGGAAATAATTGTACTTTAAGGGAAAATTAAAATTCTGTAAATTTAGTGAACCTGAAAAGAACTTTCTCATCAAGTAAACAGATTTTTCTGATTTTGTATTAATTACTGGAAGTTTCAGGTAGTACTCCCAGGAGCAGATATTTATGCACTAGAGAAACAGCTCCTTTGTATGTAATAATAAAAACTTGGAAGTGACTTCACAAAACAGACTGTTTCTGTTGTTTGTCACAGATTTACTGAAAATGTTTTAAGTACTACTTTCCTGCATTAGCGTCATATGTCATACTTTCTCTTTGGCAGTCAAAACCAAAATCCATTACAAAGTTCTCCAACAAACGAAATCACTTGTGCAATGGAGAGGACAGTCAACTTTTGAAAAATACAAACACCTTGAGGAAATCCTTATTTTCTGTAGAATTCTCTATGAATGCAGAAGTCTGACTGATCCCATTCCTCGAATAAAACCAGGCAAGGCACTAATGACGATGATCACTAATGACAGCCTCTCACACAAGTGACTTTATCTTTCAAAACCATGAAGCTGTAATGTGAAGGTGAATTATCCATCTGAAGCTGGTAAAGGTAAATTTATGTAGTAAAAAAACCCAAAATTTTCATTTAAAATACTTGCATAAATAAGAGAATTTTGATTATTAGCCTCTTCCAACCACAATTCATCATCTAGCTTTACCTACTTTATATCTGGTCCAATCAGCGAATGCCTCCTTAGCATAGCCCGTGCTTGTGCATTGGTTAAGTTAGTGGTTGACTCTTCATTAATGGACAGGATGCAGTCCCCCACACCAATCCGTCCATCACGACTTATTGACCCTCCATGGATGACACTGCGGACTATCATTCCTGAGCCATCTTTATTGGAACTTACTGTCATCCCTACAGTAAAAAACACATGAAACAGTTAATAACATCTTTGAGCCCCAGCTCTGAGTGCCAAGGGAAAGAAATGCAACCTGGGGCAAGGAAGGCAAAAGCCAGCCAGCCAGCCAACCTGCCAATGTCATCAAACCTAAAAATGTTGCTCTTATTATCCTTTGCATTTCCCTCTCCCCAAGAAGAGTCAGCAGTTACAAATCACAATCACAGTATCTTTACTTTGTGTCTTTTCACATACCAGGCTTAATATAAAAAAACAAAACAAAACAAAACAAAAAACAAAAAAAACTAAGAGAAAAATTAAAGCAGAAAATAAACAAAAAAAAGGTAACTAAAATTGTTTCTAAACCAGCCAAATTTACCACTCTTCCGGATGGTTCACTGAGTTTATACACCACACTTCAGTCTGGTTTATGACAGTTCTCTTTGGAAAGGAGGTGAAATCATTAAATGGTTAATCAGGAGCACAGGGTCAATATAACCACACACCTACATGAATCAGATCTCACAAAGACAGTGGCTGCCTTCTTGCTCTCCTAGGCGGGCCATCGCTTAGGCCCAGAAGAGCATCCTGACTTCTGTGAAAGCTCACACGCTACGGATGGATACAGTCCACTGCCTGAGTTACACCACCATCCCACCTGTGACATCGCAGAACATTACCTCTCAATTACTCACACCACTGACCTCCACTTCCTTTTCACTAATGGGAAATGAGACTGAGGTGCTCTTCCTCCTCTTCCCCCATGGGGACTTCCTTGTGATATTGGTCTTCACATGTCTTTGTGACTGTTCTTACATGCATGAGTTGTCACTGTTATTTTCAGGGCAGCTGGTGCTCATGAAATCAACCTTGACTGTTCCAGGAAAAACTGTTCTTCAGTAAGGCAATGGAAAGGTAGCTGAAGGGTGAGCACCCTGGGAGTCCACGCGGTGGACTTCCACTATCTTAATACTGACAAATTTGATTTTACTCCTTTTTGTGCACGAACATGGAAGATTTCCTTTACTAACAAGATGAAGCCACTGAAGTAAGAGCACCTTATAGAGGAATATCTATTGGAGAAGGAGGCAGCGACTACTCCACTATGTGTTTTCCTGGTTTTGCATGTAAATGTCAGGATAGCAAGCACTGGGAGTGCAGCTGTGTGTCTGCAAGGACCTTATTGTAAGGACTGTGAGAGAAAGGAAGATGATAGCTACCCAGAGCAAAACCTCCAAGGATACTGACTATGAAATAATTCTGACCGTTTATATACAAACGTTGCTACAGAAGACAGAGACTGAACACTTTACTCTGTGACCCTGGGAGACAGACTGGACGAAGAGAGTTTAGAAGGCAGGTGTAAGCCCCAGCTTACCCAGACTCAGACAACCATGCAAACATCTGTCTATATATGTCTGAGAAAAAAAAATACTGTCACCATTTAAAGAACAACACTAATCTGGATATTTGTGGTTTTTTAGGACTCCTTTCAGAAAATAAAAATTACTTAATAGTGTTGGCTCCTCACACATACTCGTAGTTGATATCAACACAGCTGTCTCAAGTATGCGAAGTTGGCCCTGACCATCAAGGAACTGCCCAATAAGCTTCTCAAACACAAGAATACATGTACCTCTCTACTTTGGTATGAGGAAGTCAAGGCTTATCTTTTGGAAAAACCGCAAAACCTCTCTTCATGATGGCACTTCCTATTAAACTGATGAAAGACTATGGTGTTACCACTGACTGGATATTTATATTTATGATTTGCCAGGTAAAGATGTGGTCAGGCATTATTTAAATATGGGTGTATCAGACTTGTCATATGGACACACAATGGCACTGATTTACTGTCTTGCTATTAGAAAAAGTAGAGGTAAACTGCCTCTCACCTACCCCCTTAGATTATTAACATTACAATGTTGAGCACATCACAGATGGTATTTACAGGTGCCGCCTTGGGGTGGAAGGCCCAGCATTTACACTTACAACAGCAACAACTCACACAGGTTACTCATTCAGATCTGAATGTAAACACAACTCTGCAACAGAGTGGTCTTCACCAGAATACAAGCAGCATGCCAGAAAAGCAAACTGCAAAGGAAACAGCTGAAATGCAGTTTGAAATTCTGAACCTAACTTCGCTGCTTGGTTAAGCCAGTAACAAACAACAGTACTACTGAGGCTAGTGTAATAGTACTTTAGAAAAACATCACCCCCAGCTTCTCTGCTGACATCCTCATTACAACAGATCTGCAAGGCTGATGTCACACTTTGGACAGCTACTGTCTCAGGTAAAAAATAGAAATGTCACTGTCATGTTGCCAAATGAATCATACAGGACAATGGCATTTCAGATCTTGCATGTGGATACTCCATCCTCTTACCTTTTAAAAATCACAATCAAAAGGTTAGAGTTCCAGTTGCAGCTGGACGTGAATAGCTGTTGCAAGCCATGGCTGACACCATTTAAAAGGAAAAAAGTGCCTGTTCTCAGCTGAAATAATTGATGCAGCTGCAGCTTTCAACATCATCCACAGCTCTTAATTTAGCTCCTTTTTGTAAAAATGAAAGTAAAAAGCAGTGCAGTCACGTGTATAAATTGGTCACTGTGCCCAGGCAGCTTCCCAGGCCAGAGCACACATAGACCAGAAGAAAAAGACTACAGTCAAAAGCCAGGAGAAGGCACTGTTCACATTCATACTGTGTATACATGAGAGGCCAGTCTCACGTTTCATGCATGTCATGTCTGCCAATGTGCAGCCTGCCCCAAGTTTGTATTTTTATGCTGTATTATGCTTGACATGAAATTTGCTTTTTTTGTTCAATGTTTCTGTGATAATAGAAACATAGACATGTATGTCATAGACATAGACAAACACTGCTCCACTGAGTTAAGAGGTTACTGCAAATTAAAATTGTTTTAACAAAATCCAAATGCCTAGGACTTCATTGTGACCTGCACTTCATACAGCCTGGCAATGAGGCCAGTAGAGGCAGTAGTTACTCAAGCACCTCATACCAATGAAACTCAAAACTAATATGCACATCAGCCTTGCTACAGTTTTGTATTTTGGGGAGGCTGATTTTAAACCAGATCAGTTCCTGATCCAGTTTGGAGGCTGGCTGTATCACGAAGAAGGTGATAAGGGGCAGACTTAGCATTCAGCCATCAGAGGCAGTTTATTCCAGGCAGAAGCACCCACTGAATTACAGCATCACACTACCCCGCCCACCTCTGCACAGCAAGGGAGTCCTGACTGGTGGCTGTTTATGACCAAGGGGCTCATGGGCTGCTTTCAGGGTGCTTTCTGTGGACAACCCATCTTAAAGCATTTGCAGAGTCACTGCAAACAGCTGGCATCCACACAAACTCCTGCTCTACCAACACCAGAGAGTCTTCAAGGACATGCAGTTGTCCAGAAGAAATGGCACGAGGAATCTAAACCAAAGCAAATGAACACACCAGCCACGAATGGGAGGGGAGCATCACCGCCTCCCACCACAAAGATTTCCTACCGTGCTGGCTCTGGGGACTGGCCTGGGAGGATGTTATCCTTGCTGCTCCTCCTCCCACTGCCCACGGCCACAGCACAAACCAGGAGAGGACACTGAAAAACATTTCCACCTATTGTGCCTGTTCCCTCAAAAATGTGCCTCTAGTCAGTATGCTCAGGAAGTTATAGATTGCAGATATTTAAAACTCTGAAAATGTCTACAAAATTATAGTATAATTGAGCTAAAAATACTACTTACTAAACGTATCAATGATTAAATTTTCTGAAATACTGAGGCACTTAACATACAAGTATAATCAGGTATCAAGGAAGTGAACAGCTTGTTCAGACTCTTTTGAACATCCTCAGAAAACAAGATCATTTTGTGTTTAAAGACATTTGAAAGTCTACTCTGCAGCTTTTTGACCAAAGTGTTCTACAGCATTCCTCGGCTATATCTTGGTTTTCCACTATATTATTTGAATGCATATACATTGAAAACCAATGTATTAAAATAGTTTTGTTAACATTTAGGAATCACTAAAATTTTTTATGGGAAAATGTCCTGGTTTCAGCTCGGACAGAGTTAATTTTCTTCATAGTAGCTAGTGAGAGTCTATGTTTTGTATTCGTGCTGGAAAGAAGGTTGATAACATACTGGTGTTTACAGATGCTGCCAGGACAGTCAAGGACTTTTCAGCTTCTCTGCTGTGCCAGTTGTCTGCAGGTGTAGAAGCAGCTGGGAGGGAGCACTGCCCCAATTACTAGCCTAGAATTCAGTTTAGGATTGAGACCCAAATTGGACAGTAGTCTACTCCATATCATGCACATCATGCCTAGTATATAGATGAGGATCTGTGCAGTAGTTCTCTCTTGCTCTGCGTTTTCTCCCTCCGGGTCACCCCTCTCTGAGAGTCTTCTCAGTCTCTCTGACACTCGGGCTCTTATCTCAATTCCAGGATTGTGGTTTTAGGACTCTCCCTGCTCTGGGATCATCAGCCGGGAATGGGCTGAGCCTTGGTCACCAAGCAGTGAGCAGCTGCACTGTGTATCGCTCATTTGCATATTTGTATATATTACTATCATCATTTGTATTTTCAATATTATTGTACTTTAGTTACTAAATTGTTCTTATCTCAACCCATGAGTCTGTTTTCCCTTTACCCCTTTAATTCTCTACCCCATCCCTGAGAGGGGAAAGGGGGAGGGTGAGGGAACGGTTGTGTAGTGTCTGGGTCTCAGCCAGGGGTGTAAAACTACAACAGAAAAAAAAAAGAATTCTTACTGAGACAAGACACTTTACGTTTGTGTTCAAGGTGACAGCAAATGGATCTATTGCCATCATAGCCAAACAGGGTGAGAGCATCAAAGAATGAGTACCCTGTTATGCTTTCTCCACTAAAAGGAAAATGTTTACTTTTTACTAATAAAACTGGAAACAGAAGAGAAAAACAGAAAGCCATGCTCCTGAACAGGTTACAAAAAATGTTAGTTATCTTACCTAGACTTGAATTGCCTTTTGCAATAGCGATGGTCTTCTCATACATGTTTTTGATAGAATTTGGGGTTGTGGAACTTCCCTCCAAAGATACTGGGCATCTCTTCTCCATTAACATCATTTGATCCTAACACAAGAGAAGATAAGATTGGTTCAGAAAACTGAGACAAAAATACGATTGGACATACTGACCTCAATTTGCGTTATGCAAAAACTAGGTGCAGAATTAATACACTCCTTATACACACATAGAAAAAGTCGGTCCATCAAAGATCAAACCTACATACCTGAGGTTTCTGTTTTCATTTAGGTAATACAGCAAATCTACCACAAAGTATGCTTTTAATTTAGGGGCATCAGTTAGACTCTCAAAATCAGTGGGATGAATTCAAGGGCTCACAGACTCTTTTACCACAGATGTCTGACAATATGCCAGTGCTCAAGTAACAAATCTGGTAAGAAATTGCAGCTCTTTTAAGAATTTCTTAATAAATCATTGAATGGAAGAAAAAAGACACATCATAGTGACTGTCATATAAAAAAATATTATGTTTGCACACTGTGGCATCACAGGCCACTTGGTGAGCTGAACTGCACAGGCTTGCACAAATACCAGGATGCAAGTCTTTCAAACCACTCCCCTTGGCTTCGCAGAACTGGTTTCCAGCTGAGGTTTCCAGCTGTGCAACTCCTCCTCATGCCCATGCCTCTGCAGACGTTAACAGGAGATAAGAAAAGCCCTCTGGCCTGCCAGGTACACTGTGGTCCAGCAGTGTCTACTGCTGTGAGGTATGAGAAGACTTTTACATACCCCTGTGTCACCAGTCTCCGGGAGAGTACTATCTCGATCCCACAAATTATCTCCTGTTTTGAACAGGTCTAAATGCTAAAGTTTGGATGTCAGCTACCACATCTGACGGACATTTATTATCACAGAAACATACATTCTGTTGGCCAGTGTCTATTTCTGCAGGAGATTCTATGGTTTAATATGGCCTTTCTGTAGGTGTTTTTAATTATTTAATTAAAGAATTTAAAGAAGAAGTTTTTACTTTTCCAGTGGGATCAAGCTGCATGGCAGAAGCAAGGCTTGTACTTAGTGCAATTTCTGCTGTTGTCTTAGATCCAGTCCATGTTGCTGTGTTTTCACTTTCATTTTGACTGATATCCGAGACATCCAGAGGCAGAAGATCCTTTTTAGTAAAACCAGTTGCAGTTTCCATGTTATTGTTCGCTACAGAGTTTTGCTCTCTCTCCTTCTCATTCAGATCCATGTTGTACGGACTCTTGTCAGACACACGGAAATCACCTGCAGCATTTGAACATTCCTCTCCAACAGACTGTTAAACACAGGAGACAATGAATAATCAATATTCTTTTGTAGCATAATTAAAAAGTACATTTCCTGATAAAATTTTAAACAGAAACCAATCAGAGAATTTAAATGTATTTGTTGTAAAATCAGTGTCTACAGGAGATCCCCACAGGCACTTTACTATAAAATTAACTTGATTCTTCAGATAATTTATTCTGTTTTAAAACACCAGAAATCAAGGAAAATAAAGTTACTAATGAAGGCCAAATTCTAATTTGGTACTCACCAATAAATCTCCGCTAACTTCAGCAAAGTAACGTCCACTCACAAATTCTCAAACTAGACATAACTCCAGCAAGTTATTAAAATTAAAGCATCCAATTGTCCTTCTCAGGTAGAAGAGCTTTGCAAGACCAAGTCCTGACTTTCAAAACACTTAGCAAGCAGCCAACAATTTCGAGCACCTCAGACAATACGCATGCAATTTAATAATCCATTTAACCGAGCAGAAAGATATTTAGATATTCCTTTCACACAAAGAGAGAAAACTCAGTCAAATGTCACCAAAAAATGAACATGGAGGTTTTGAACTGTGACAATGAAATACAATGAAGCAGCTACAGAAGCTTAGCAGTTAGTAGTTATTACAAGTATAACGATTACAGCTGCAGCACTAGGATTAAGCTCTCTACACAAAATTTATTGAGACTATCAAGATTCCAAGCTCCTGCATTTCAAATATTTTAAGGGATTTCAATAATCACAACCTTCTGGAAATAAATCTTCCAACATTCTCTAGCCGAGTTTTCAAAATCAGTAATTTTAAAAACATGTAGGCCATTACATATTAGAAAGATAAATCATGGACTTAGAGGTTGGACTTAGAGTTTCCATTTCAATATTAGGGATTTGCCTCTGACGTAGTAAATGTAGTCACAAGAACATCTACCTCTGTCTGTCTTAGTTGTTATCCACTGGTTATCTACTAATTCTTCTATTCCTGTTCAAAAAAAATAAGGAAAACATGTTTCCCAGGATTTTGGGATATTTTGCAACATTTTGTATCAAGGGCCTTAGAATTAGTTTTTCTTATATTTCATGAAGTGCATACATGCTTGCTATGTCCCCAGAAAACCATCAAAAAAGGTTCACCTGCAAATAACTGGTTTAAGTAACATCTGGGAAGATAACTGAGCAAAGCCTAAATACAACTGATCTGCACAAATAATTTCCTGCCTTTTGGAGAACAAAACACCAGGACTATAATCTATTCAAATTATTTCATTAGGTTTCAAAGAAAGCTGGTACATCTACTTCAAAGTATTTATTTTCAAATCAGTGAAAACAAGACCCAGACCATACTCAACAGTTATTCCATTGTCATATTATATACATATCAGAGTTGCAGCACACGCCCATTTTAATTTTTGTTTCACTTAAAGAAAAGCCAATGCTGTAATTTTTGAAGACAAACATGATTTCAGGAATTTGTAACTGCAGCAACATGTGGCCTCACTAGAGCATTTGCATTACTTTGACTTTAAGTGGTTTTTTTCATCACTTATTTTAAGAGTGACCCCAACAGCACTCAGAACCTGTCAACTGCCCTGCAGTCAGAAGAAACACCTCTGCGTTCCTCATAGCATCTAATACCAATCTTTTCATTTTTACTACATTTCACTTATTTTAAAAGTCTTCTTTTATGAACCGATTTTCTATGTTTACTTTGAGAAGTCACTCATAACTGCAGACTATAAAATGTTACTTGATGAGAACTTAATATTCACTTCATACTGGTGCACAGAGAGGAACACTGAAAGGTCAGGACCATAACATTTAAAAAAACATGTAAACTGAAGCCATCTTTAAGTCAATGCTGAAAATAACTTAAGACTTTCTAGAGCCTCAACGTGATATATAACGTAAATCCAGCCTCTATCTCATAAAATGCTTCTCAGCATGCAAAATGCATAATCCGTTTAAGTAACAATTACAGTGCTAAACAATGCAATCTGTCCCACTGGCACAGCAGACATGCTCTTCTGTGGATTAGGAGAAACCATTAGAAGATGAATTTAGCTTTCCAATCAGTGCCTCGTAAGGGCTGAATATATTCCAGAAGGGATAAAGGGAGTTACTGCAGCTCAGGTGTGGAGGAAAAAGCAGCAACTACTCCGCTCAAGACCACAGACTGCAAACCCTGAAAGAAATCCCTATAATGTTGCTTTCAAAGATGACTGCTAGGATAAACGACTTGGAAGACTCTGGATTAGCGAAATAAATCTATAGATTGCCAAGAAAAAGGAGCATGAAAAACCATGGAGAGAAACAAAACACCAACTCTGATACAATCAAATCATTATGGGTATGTGACCAGCAAGAAAAAAGCTGCTGATCTTTGTAATACTCTTAAGGAACTTATGTTTATTTACTGACTTTAAATAGAAATTATTAGTAGTCAGAGGTTTGGTATATACATTTTTACTTTTAATTACACAGTATCACTATGAACTTTTCATTCAAGAACACAGTAAATGAATGAGCAAACATAGTACACATGAAGAGAAAAAGCAAAGGTTAGGATGAAAACTTACTCCTGCTTTTCATATCTAAAATACTGTAGAATAATGCAGTTACTTTGTGTTACCACTCTGTACTACACTCTGAAATAATAACAATTAAGTTTTTGTAGCAGACTGCTTACCACAGCTTTAACACTACAAACATCTATCTCACCATACTTTATCTGGCTATACAAAACACAAATCCAAGCTTTCAACCTTCTAGCTGCCTCTCTCTTCAACATACATGTCTGAAAGACACCAGCACTACCCTAAACAAAACTGCACTTTAATCTGGTAACAAACAGCACAGTTTGAACCAGGACGACATAAAACATTTATAGCTAATAACACAGCCTTTACACACTTGTAATCAAAGTTTGTCCTCAACAAAACTGTCCTCCTTTTTACCTTGGGAGTTGATGATGGAAGAGGGAAGTTGTAGTTCAGCTCACCGCTACAGGCACTGCCATGCAGAGCCATCATTGAAGCCTGGAAGGTGTCACTCTCTACAGAATATTGCGATTCAAATGTGGACTCATCCGCTAGATCTGCCTCGCCGGAGTCCACCTAACAACAAAAGCAATTCAATCAGCCAGGCTGTTACCTTCACACCACATAAGCCCCGAACACATGCACCTCAGCCACTACGTACTGATTGACACTTTCGTTCTTTTTTTTTCCTTCCTTGCTTTACATTGAAGTTACATTTGCACAGCACAATAGGAAAAAATTATGCTTCCAGTTACAATTCACGTTACTACATCTTCAGAGGTCGCAAAGAATATCTGAAGTAAGTAAGAATCTCAACTGTAATGAGTTGCAGGGCTTTTTTTTTCTTCTTTTTAATTTTCTTTTACAAGACTTAGCACTGAAAAAATAATGAGCTTCACATAATGTCACCTGTCAGGAATGTTCCTTCCACTCAACTTCATAGGTTCAGTTGTTTTCAAAAGGGTACAAAGAACAATCTTATGGAAATTGCAATTATTTCCAATACATTTATAAGAAACATTATGACATGATATTTTATGATTTCAAAAATATCTTAAATTTGACAACATTAGTACTGACAATTCTTCTCCTGTCTTAGATGAGAAAAAAAAAAGAAAAAGAGTTCCAGATATGGACATGGGCAGTACTTTTTTTTTCCTTAAATGAAATACAATTTTTTTCAAGACTTACTTTCAAATATCAAAACGAAATTAAGTCCTAAGAGACTTAATTTATGGTGCTTCATATACTACACTTTGACTATAATTTCACTGCCCTTGGGAGAGCTCAAGAACACAGTGTATGCTGACAAAAATCATCAGTGAGTTCAGAGCCATGATCATATCATAAACCTGCATGAAGCAGCCAAGTGCACCCATCTGCAGAGACGGGATCTAAGTGTTGTTTTTCGGCTTCTGTAGTTAATCATACTATGAGCTCATTATCTCAGATTCCTAACAGCAATAGCAAAAACCTGCAGTGATTCAACATACTGATTTGGGGGGAAGGGGTGGGTATAAATTATCCATTATTGTCTTAACCTTAAAGACTCAACAGCTCATTCAAACTGATCTTTTGGTGTAACTTACTTCAGCCCATCTACTGGAAAATGAAGACTAGTGCTACCAAAGCTATGCCCTAAAAGAGGGATTGTAAAAAGCAGGGAGAGACTTGTAGAATCTGATTGCAGATTTACCTATGAAAAACAGTATCTTGTGAGTGCACTCTGCAAACGTATGTTTAACTGAGTCATGGTACATTCAATTTTACACTTTGCACATTTAATTAGACAGGTGACAGAGCTGACAATTTAGCCATATTATTATATGCCATATATTTTCATAGTTCTTTAACAATTTTAATTTTTTTGTATGAAACACAGATAGAAGTCAAATTTTTAAATACTTAAGTTTTAATCTGATCTTTCCAACTCGTCTTTCATTACAGAAAATTTAAAATATATAACCTGGCTTCTTCATACTTCTCAATGAATAGAACAAGGCAAATCCTATTATCTAACTACTGTACCAAGGTAACAAGCTGCAGAAGAAAGAAAAGGCAGTCTTGTTTAAAAGCAAGTTATTCAAATCAGCTTGTCATTCGCAAATGTGAAAAATAGTGAACATATTGAAATCAGTAATTCAGAGATTTTTGCCTTGGAAGAATCCATTTCAGATTTTTGTTTGGTTTTGGTTTTTTCCTAATGAATTAAGTTCTGGTGTTTAGCAGAAACTGCTTCCCTGCTCATGGCCCTAGAAAATGCAGGCCAAAAAACTTCAATGTCAGGCCCAGATCAGTACAAATAACCGTGAGAAGACACACTCAGAATGCATTTATATAATGGATTTTGTGGGGTTTTTTTGTTTCTTTTTTTAGTTTTTTGTAAAGCCCTATTTCCTTTGTCTTTTTTACCTGAGTTCTCATTGGTAAATTCTGGGCTGGGGAAGGCAGTCAATGCTCATTTAAGCCATTGTTTGTACAAGTGAACACCTTTTGACTTTGCAAATCTCATAATCACTGATTGATGCTGAAGGTTAAAGAATGTTACTAGGAGGAAGCATTGGCAGCTTTTGAAGACAGACAGCATTCCTTTTAAAGCTGGTTTACGCGCAAAAAGAGAATTCCAAAAACTTTCAATGCAGAGAAGTCACGTATCATGATATATAGGCAAAGAGATTTACTTACAAAATAAGCACATGAACATTTCTTTACACAAGGTGAGATTGTCACAGGAATACTCATTGCATGCAAGGAGAAGTGGATAGCCATGCACTTTTGAAAATCTCAGCAAAATACTTCCTTTTTTTTCCAGCAACTAATATATCATAGACTAGATTCACAGCTCATGCAAACGACCAAAATCTCTGGATGCCAGTTTCTACCATGAGGGGATCCATCCCAGCTATGGTGGATGAATAACGTGGTGACAGTAAACAGTAAAAAAAAAGCACGAACAGTGACAAAGCAACCGCTTTCATTACAAAATGCAAAAACTTAAGACATCTTTGGTAAGTTGGGCCACTAACCAGAGCCAGCTCAGCATGGAAGAGGGCTGCATCAGCTGGCCCCTCCTCCTCAAGTGACTGGGCAGTGTAGAAAAAGCAATCTTCCTTAGCAGAGACATAGCCCTCCTCTGGTGACAGCTGCAGAAAGAACGAAGCTCTGAGTTGGATGAGTGGCCAAGACATAGGCCGTCCAGAGTGCGTTATGTGCGGGCATTTAGAGAGGGAAATGAATTCCAAATGCAGAAAAGCTTTCATTTCTATCACAGTCACAGTGCTGGGTAGGTAAAGAGACTTTTTTTTTTTTTTTCAAATTTACCTGAATTGATTCAGCCTCGCATCCCAATTTACATCCCAAAGTAATGAAAAAGGCCTATCCAGATATACCACAGAACCCACAGCTTAGTGTCAACTCATTTTCAATTTCTGCTCTTATTAAACATATACTAAAACTACCATCAGACGTGCCACCAGGGAGAGAGCCTAGCAGCAGAGGCCTTTACAACCTTGCTAGCCACAGAGTAACCTTGTTAGTATGCTGGAAGACTGGATCTACTATCTGTGTTTTAAAATTGTACCTGCCAGGTGGAACAGCCTCAAGAGGACAAAACATAATTCTGACTGTAAACCAGTAGCTTTTTCCATCATAATTTGATACTAGGTGCATTTGTCCAGTACTGCAAAGAAGCCACTGATTATTCACAATGTTTAATTAATTGGCAAGCATAATACATGAAAGTACAAATGCTGAATGTTTACAAAATGCTGGGAACAGACACAAAACCCCATGCAGTCTTTTCTTTTAGAGTGACATCTTTTTAAGTATGAAAATATTGATTTGCAAGACATTTTAGCGTGTAACACAGAGTCTCCGCTACAAAAAACATATTTAACAAAGCAAGTTTAAAGAGTATCCTCTTCCTATGAAAGCTTCTAGTAACTTAAACATCACCCTCTCCACAAAGACCCTCTAAGAATGAAAATTTGTTATCTGCATCCACAAAGATTACAAGATCATCATTTCATGAAAAGCAAAAATGAACCCCAAAGACTGCACTTGGTCTTAAAAATATAGTGAAAGGCATCTTCCTTGTATGTACAAACTGATGCCATTCTAACGATTTGAATTTAACGCACTACATACACTAGTCAATTAGCATCCTTACTGACACACTATCTCAGTAACCCTAGGTGTTCTTCAGTCTCATTCTTCTAATTGTTACAGACCATCTTTTAAATCAAGCCTGAAATTATTTACGGCTATACTAAAATAACCAGCTTCAGGTATCTGAACCGAAGACTACTCACCATTCTTTAAACATGAAGTGTGTGTAGTTTAAATACAAAGACTGCACATGTATTATACCTTGCAAAGCAAAGGAATAGACAAATTCCAGGCAAACAAAAAAAATTGACTTTGCATCACCATCTCGTACATTCAGAGAATCTTGTAAAGTGTGTGTACAAAATTGTGCCTGTCAACTTGCAGCCCTGAAAGACTGTGCTGGTTGCAAGATGCTTTGCTGTTCTCTCACCTGCAAGACAGGTGTACTAAGTCCTGCAATCACTACACCAGCCATACTCTACACAGGCCACTCCTACATGCAAGGAGATAAAGAAATCTGTTAAAGACAGTTTCTGGATGTTTTGAGCCACCCAGCTGTACCCCAAAGCACACAGAGTGTACGCAAAAGTCAGGATCATCATGTAACAGCTTAAATGACATGACAAGTACTCATCGAATTCCAAAATCCTTACGGGCAGTGGTTTGGCAACTCCTATTTTAACTGTTCCTGCTGGGGCTCCTTTCAGTGCTTGTACCGCTTCCTCCAGGCTGCCATTTTCCAAGTTGATATCGTTGACAAACATAAGCCGATCTCCAGGAAGAAGTCTGCCATCTTTCTCGGCCACACCTCCAGGAACTAATGAGCGAATCACAATTACAGTGTTTGCTGGATCAAAAGGATCCTATTAAACAAAAGGAAGAATAAACATTTCATTTTATTTATTCTTTTTATTACTTGAAAGGCTAATTTTTATGCAGAGTTGGGTTATTAAAAAAGTTGGAGCTCTGCTCCAGATGAACCCTTAGCAGAAACACACCCTCCTGTCCACACTCTGCATACGTTTAGACTTCCATCTATTATTAATTTGTAAATGTGAAAGTTGTTACTCCTTTCCAGGTGATGTTCCATCATATATATCCAGCATAAAATACTGCTAAATGGTAGAGTGCTGTTCGTACTGTAATGAGTAATTACACACCAGAAATTCAAGTACTTTCTACTGCAGTGACAGTGTTGCAGACTTCATCCTCCCTTATACTCAGTGGTTAGGGAATACATCTGGGCAGTGCAGCCTGAGGCAAAGTTAACATATGCACTCTGGTGGAACAAAGAGCTTATTTTCAATAACTAATACTTCACAGCACCAGACCTTGCTCAGCTGAGAAAGTGCTTTTTAAGAGGCAAGTCCTTGTGCACTCCAGCCAATAAAACAGAACAAAGTGGTGTTTGCTTTTAAAAAAGAAAACTGAAGTCCCCATCCTTCAATGCACTGATTTTTATAAAAACACTAGCATCAAATACTAAGGAACATATGATTTTGCTATAACAGTTATCACAGATGTACACATTTGCATGATTCTTACAGAATTACATTCACAAGCAACATCATTACATGTTAACACTTCCAACACATGGCAATTCACTTGAGCACATGCACAGAAAAAAACCCGAGGCATGTAATAATGTACCTGCTTTACTGATAGCAAGAGGAAGAGAAAAGCAAACATCTACAAACTGGCATACAACTGCAACAAGTTTCCACGCCAAGACGTACATCAGAAAGGATGCACACCACCACGGCATCACCCAAACCCACAGGTCTTAGACACTGATGAAAGCTAGTGTGAGAGAGATGTTGAGGTAGGGAGAGAGGGAAGGACTCCAAGAAGACCCTTAACACTTCATGGCAGCTAATGCAGTAAGAAGAATGCCATGGAGCAATAAAAAACTCCACAAGTGGAAATAAAAGCAGCATTGCTGGAGATAGTGCTTAAGTCTGAACACTGTCATCTTCCTCACTATTTGAAGAATAAGTATTTACACTGTCACTCTAGATGACAATGAATTATTTTTTTTAAAAAAATAACCTCTCTAGTGTATGTGATAAGAAATTCCTGAGATAAGAAATTATGTAGACTTTCCTACAGGCCTGCCGTTGTATAAAACATGAGGAATGTATTAGTATGAACATAACTGTCCCTAACTTTAGTCACTGTTCATTGAAAATTAATTGAAAATTTGATGGAAACAGCAAAATACAAAGATTAATCTCACTGTAAACTTAGGTTCACAGTCTGTTTTGCCAATCCACAGGGACAGCACAAAGGACACAGGCACCAAA